CCAGGCTCTTTTCTTTCATTACCCGGGAGCTTTAGGAACAAGGTTTGTGTGTGTGTTGCACTGGCTGCCAGCTTGCCCCGAACTGAACTTTGTACCCAGCTGCAAAATCACCCTTGGTCTGCGTTTTTCTTCTTAATGTTTCTTTCTTAACCCTTTTTGATTGCTTGGCTCTCATCCTTTTAAGTTTGTAGGCATAGTTTTCTCTGTTCCCTATATTGCTAGCACTCTCAAAATCTTCTCAGAAGTAGACAAAGGAAGCAGCACTGGCCACGATGGGTCCCTCTCTGCTCCACCTGCACACAGGAGAGAAGCCCGGCAATACCACGTGGCCGGACACGCAAAGACCGGTCCAATTGGCTTCTTCTGGCACAACTGGTGCAAACAGGCTCTGATGTGAGAATTTAGGTATCCAGGCTCACTGCAGCCGATCCCCCCACCCCACCCCGGGAATCCACAGTACAGGAAGGTGGTTATATGCTGTGTTCTAAGTAGCCTCCCAATGTTTCCGGATGCCAGAGAAGGCTCAGGGGCCTGAGACAGCCTCCTCCTCCTCTGAGGCAGTGGACATGGATGCGGGTCAGGCTGCTCAGAGATGCTCATTGTCTCCTCGCTCTTACCCCAGGGAAGCTTGGACCAGCTGGATGAGGTAGCAGCGCTGATCGCTGCCACAGTCCATGACGTGGACCACCCGGGAAGGACCAATTCCTTCCTGTGCAATGCGGGCAGTGAGCTCGCCGTGCTCTACAACGACACCGCCGTCTTGGAGAGTCACCACACTGCCCTGGCCTTCCAGCTCACGGTCAAGGACAGCAAGTGCAACATTTTCAGGAATATTGACAGGTTTGTTGGGCGGGGGGTCCTGTGCTCAGGTTCATGAAGGGGTCATGGGAAGCCGTTTCCCTAACTTCTCCAAGGTCTGTTGTAGCTGTGCTGGGGAAAGGAAAGAGTTACGAAAATAGTGGGATGTAGCCGATGATAAAATATCAGTGAGTTCACTCCGGGGGGCTGATTCCGACGCATGGCAACCCTGGGTGTGTCCGAATGAATGAGCCTTGCTCTCATAAATTTAATTTGGATGTTTCAGGCTGCATTTATCTTTTTAAATCTCATCTGGTCTTCCATGAGTTCATGAAAATGTTTTATATACTGCAAAGTACTACATAAATATTAATTGTATTAATATTAGTATTAGCGATAAGTACAGCAGGTATGTTTAGGCTCCCAGAAGGACACCTTGACTTCCATGTAACCCAAGGAAGCTTTTTCCTCCCACATCTTTTCTCAACTCAATTTGTGGTCAGCTAAATCCTACCGCATGAGGAAATCAGGTCCTACGGATCCCAGCAGAGCTGCTGAAGCCCAAGGGGATAGGCAGGTATCCACCCCACCCCCACCCACCTGCTGTGGTCTCTTCTGGGTCAGAGTTGGCCAGAAGTCAGCAGAAAGCTAAGAGACGTTGCTCTTGCCTGATAGCAACACCAACATTGAGCTTCAGGCCTTTCCCCCACAGAACCCGCACAGTGCACTGCTGGGAGAGGCCAGCACACAACCAAGGCAGCGCTAACGAGGGCCTGGCCTGGGGATCACGTCTTAATATCCCTTTGGCATCCAGAAACCTGGGAATGTAGGAAGACCCGTTATAAACCAGCTTATCATGCAAAGATGGTATCATGCAAAGAGGGGATTTTAAAACTTTTGTAAAAAAGCTTCTTTCCAGTAGCCTCTCTCATCCAGCTTCCCAGTCTGAGTCTTGACGTTGGATGGTAAGAATTAGCCAATCCTTTGGGGCAGTGTCCTTGCGCTACAACTTCTAGTTCCAGTCTAGAGAATTATTAGCAGGGAAATGTCCTTTCTATGCAGTTCCCGCATCGTGATAAAACAAAACAGAACAAAACTCACTGCCAATGAGTTGATGCCACGCATCGCATCCCGATAGAACAGGGTACAACTGGCCCTGCGAGTTTTTGAGACCGAAAAACTGGTGGCTGTGAACTGCTGACCTTGCATGTAACCGCTCCGCCACCAGGGGGCCCCATCCTGGTGGTTCTCTGCAATAGGAATGCCTGCGTCTGGCCTGAATGCAGCCAGCAGCTCACTGGGCTGCGGTACTTCCTCGCATGGAAGGAAACTCATGTCTTCCTCTTCGGCTGTTGCCGTGGGCAGGGAGGAGGGAGTCACTTCGTAACAGCAGTGCTTGCTCTCTGTAAGGAGGGTTAGCTATCACGGGGGAAACGGAATCGAGTCTGCAAGCCCCCGGCGGCATGGTGGGCAGACGAAGCTCTCCCGTGTGACTTACACGTTACGGGCAGGGTGGTGAAACGGTGGCCTGGCCGGGCAGGGTTCATGCTGGGCAGGAGGCGAGCAACGCCCTTGGTCTTCTGGTTATTTTTAGGAACCATTACCGAACACTGCGCCAGGCGATCATCGACATGGTGCTGGCTACGGAGATGACAAAACACTTCGAACATGTGAACAAATTCGTGAATAGCATCAACAAACCACTGGCCACTGAGGTAAGCACGCTGTGGGAATGAGAGATATCAGTTTATTTCCACGAGACTGTCCCCTCTGGCCTCCAATAATCCTTGCTCTCTCCCCCCTTTAAAAAAAAACAACACTTTATTTTCTGGACATTTACTTTCTATGGAGCCCTTGGTGTCAGCTCCTAGACACCCCCCCCCCACCATCCCTCTTTTCTCCCCCTTAAAGGTACGTGTTAGCGTGTACTTGGTAAAGAAGGGGGGCAGGGCGCATCCAGGTCACTTGCTTTATATAAGAACAGACTGGCAGGGAAGCCCTGAGATCCAGCCAGTGGTGACAAGGACTTGGATCCCAAGAGCAATGGAGGGAGGGAGACACACACCCTGTGGGCCTGAGGCGCACCCTGAGCCTCGCTCCCATGAACTGCTCTCTGGGTCCTTGCACGACCTCCAAGTGGAAGATCCTTGTCCAGATCTCTACTCCTACTGATGCACGTGAATAGTTTAACACGAAAACAGATGATTTTCCATAATGGGATTAAATATTTACAGTGATTCATATTCGTCAGGATAAAAAAAAAAATCCGATCTATTGCATCAAGTCTAAGAATCTTTAAATACCAAATTAGCAAATCCGTGTTACACTCCACAGATCTCCCTGTTATACATTTGCAGGGAGTTCTGGGTTGTGTTGTTGTTGTTGTTGTTGTTAGCAACCAGACTGTTGACTCAACTCGCAGCACCAGTATGTGTAACTGAATATGTCGCCATGTGCTCATCCGGCTTCGTGACTATTGATATCCAGCGGATTCAAAATCAGTGTCGCTTCAGGTGATGGCCACAAAGAAGTACAAGTTTGACAATGTATGCTACCTTTTCAACCCTCTCGTGGCCTGTGGGGCACATACCACCCACCAACATTTTCACCCACTCAGGTTTTCTTGGGAAGCTGCTGCCCCTGTTGTGTGGACTGCCACCTGGCAGAGGACCCGTATGCTGCTGTAATCTGAACTCATGGGCCTCACCCAACACTACCCCAGAGGCTGTTTGTGACAAAATCCATACTACATTAGAAAAAAAAAATCCCCTTGATTTCACCATGCCTTCCATTACTGAAAAGACATAAGTGAATGAAAAATTCAAAGTAGAAAGTAATTCAGTCATGATAGGGTTAAATATCCATCCTTGGACCCTGCCTTAAAGTGCCTAACAGTTGAGTTTCAGGAACAAGGGGAAGGAAGTTCACATCTCTGTTGTTTCAAGTGTTAATCATCTGCCTTCTGAAACCAGAAGCTGAGCACAGCATGGTGAAGGTCATTCCTGCTGAGCCCACAGTGAAGGGATGATGAGGTGACCCCTGTGCAGGACCCTCCGCAGGTCCATCCAGGCGGAGGGACAGCCCCCACTGCCTCTGTATTCAGCCCCACCTCGGACGATTCCACCAAACAGGGCCAGGGAGTTCTCACGCCCCAAAGGACTGCTGGGAGTGAGGCCCTGAGCAGTCCAGGAAGGATCTCAGGGCTTCCCTGCCAGTCTGTTCTTATATAAAGCAAGTGACCTGAATGCGCCCTGCCCCCCTTCTTTACCAAGCACATGCTAACACGTACCTTTAAGGGGGAGAAAAGAGTCCCATCACACCAAGTGTGTCTGCCATCCCGTCCTCAAACCAACCCTCACTGGTGATCTGCTTTTCAGACTGAGGGCAGTGACTGTGAATGCAACCCCATTGGGAAGAACTTTCCTGAAAACCAAATGCTGATCAAGCGCATGATGATCAAGTGTGCCGATGTGGCCAACCCCTGCCGCCCCTTGGACCTGTGCATCGAATGGGCCGGGAGGATCTCTGAGGAGTATTTTGCACAGGTGAGCTGCCTCTCTAGGGGAATGGGTCCCAGGGCCTAACAAATGAAGTGACTCTTTCCATCAATGAGGAAACGTCTCCTCCCTGGAAAGAAAACAGCCCAGTTCTTCCCGGAAGAGGCTCCTGGTCTCTCAAGGCACCAGCTGACAGGGTTGATGAAGTTTTCCTTTGATCCTGTCTTAAGCCTGTGGAAGTATCCTTTCACCCTCAAATTGTTGAGTCCTGAACTGGAAAATCATCCATTCGTCCACTTAACAGGGATCCGCAAACTACGGCCCCGCGGGCCACATGCGGCCCGCAGAGGACTTTTATCTGGCCCGCTGGGTGTTTTTGCCCCGTTTGTATTTTTACTGCAAAATGAGATATGTGCAGTGTGCATAGGAATGTGTTCATAGTGTTTTTTTAAACTATAGTTCGGCCCTCCAACGGTCTGAGGGACAGTGAACTGGCCCCTGTTTAAAAAGTTTGAGGACCCCTGGTCCACTAGGTCGTTATTGCGTGTCTCCATGACACAGCATGCAGAACACATACATGAATATGATGCATCTTGCCTTTCGGTAGTTCACAATCCAGTAAAGAAAATATAGACATAGTGACAAGTCATTCTAAATGAGAGACAAGGCTAAGTGCTTTAGGAGTCAGGAAGAGGTGGGCTTTGTGGCAGTGACGTTAAAGTTGGTTTTTGAAGGACTTAGAACTGTGGGGTGGGAAAGAGCTTTCTAAAAGAATAAAGCAAAACTAGTGAGGTGAGACAATAGAATTGTTGTCTGAAGGGAGCCACATGATGCAGTTCAGTTTGTGACGGTGTAAACAGGAGCGACAGGAGAAAAGGCAAGAAAATAGTCAACCGTAAGATACCACTGGACAAAAGTCCCTACTTCTGGAGATGAGGCTCTAAGGACTGATGGATGTGTGTGTGTGTGTGTGTGTGTGTGTGTGTGTGTGTGTGACAGACAGACAGACAGCAAAGCCAGCCAATGCTAGCATGCAGGGAGCTACAAGTGTGCCGTGTTAAAGGGTCTCTCTCCATGGCTGAAATGTACCAGTGCCGCAGGACAGATAGCTGATCATGTCTAGACTGGTTGGGAGGAGTAGGGGCCAGGAGAACACCTGGTAGATGAACTTCATCTTTCAGGTACGAGAGGAGAGCACTTGAATTGAAGTCAAGTAGAACAAGTGGTCTAGAGAAGAAAGAAGGGTGGGTGGGTGGTGACAATGGGTCGTTTTAAGACGACTTGATCCGCTGACCTGAAATGAGGGAGCTGAGCCCAAAGCTGGAAGGAGGTCAGGACTGGGTTTCCTCAGACCCTCGGGGCAGTCTCTTGAAAACCTATTTCCATCTATTCTCAAAGTGTGTGAATGTGCAGTGGGAAAGAACCACTTGGCAGTTTTTGATGTAAGCTCCTGTTTGGATGCCCATTTCCCCAAAAGGAATGTATGAATGGTCACAAGCCAGGGCAACCTAAAAATCAAGATAGAAAGTCTTTGGGCTAAAACCTCTGACCTGGCCCCATCTCAACACAGCTCCAGGAAAGAAGGATCTTAAAACTCAGCTCAGTGGTTATGCATATGGATATGAACTCTCCGGACTATTTTCCTGGCGAGGGCTGCCTGGTGTGCTGCCGTGGATAAGTGAGGTGTTGATGGGCAGCGCGCAGCGTGTGGTGATTGTCACGGATACTCGAGTAGAGCCGCGGGTCTTCTCGGAGGAGTGTCCCTGGGAGTCAGAAGATCCAGGCTCTCATCTTGGTTCAAGCAGTGTATTCCTGAGTCCCACTAGGAGAATTCCTGAATTCTGTATCACAGCCACCACATGTCAAGTACAGTGTCAAAACCAATAGTCGGTGTTGGTAAATGTTATCAAATTGGATAACTCTATGTGTACAGCACTTATCTATGAGACAGAAATCTGTAACTAGTTTACTGAAGAACCTGAACTCAATTGAGTGTATCAGAAAGCAGCTTCCTCTGGTCTAGCCGGATTTGTAAGGTAGAATTGGTGTACACTGGTACAGATCAGAGCTGGAAACACAGAGAAGCCAGGACAGATAAACCCCTCTGGACTAATAATGAGAGTAGTAATACCAGGAGGGGAAGGGGAAGGTAGGGGAGAAAAGTGGAACCGATCACAAGGATCTACATATAACCCCCTCCCTGGGGGGCAGACAACAGAAAAGTGGGTGTAGGGAGACATTGGACAGTTTAAGACATGGAAAAATAATAATAATTTATAAATTACCAAGGGTTTATGAGGGAGGGAGGGAGGGACAGAAGGGGGAAAATGAGCTGATACAAAGGGCTCAAGTAGAAAGAAAATGTTTTGAGAATAATGAGGGCAACAAATGTACAAATGTGCTTGACACAATGGATGGATGGATGGATTGTGATGAGTTGTATGAGCCCCCAATAAAATGGCTTATTTTTAATAAAAAAGAAAGAAAAACCGTTTCCTTGACCTTCCATCACCATCCTCCTGACTTACTCTTTTGGATTCATTCCCCTTTTCTGTTTCAAGGAGGCCTGGTTGTGCAGTGCTTGAATGTTGGGCTGCTCATGGCAAGATCAGCAGTTCAAAACCACCAGCCGCTTATTGGGAGAAAGAGGAGGCTTTCTCCTCCCATAAAGATTGACAGTCCCAGAAACCCCCAGGGGGCAGTTCTGCCCTGCCTGATGGGGTCGCCACGAGTCAGAATTGACTCAAGGACAATGAGTTTCTTTTCTTGGCCCATATTGCAGGACAATATTTTGGCTGACTTCACGTTTTTCTGGTTACATTAAGGTGGCAATTTTCAAAGATTTTGGTCTTAGGATTTCTTTATATTATTAAAACTTGTTGAAGAACCTCTAAGAGCTTTTATTTATGTGGCTTTTATTTATAATATTTACTGAATTCAGAATTAAAATTAAGAAAGTTTTAATATCTAGCAATCCATTTAATCATCAGGTCTTAACATTTTAGAATTTTCAAATATTAAGAAAAAGAAATATGTTTTAGAACAAAAACTGAAGAGTGGCCTTGTTTTATATTTTTGGCATATCTATTTAAAGTCTAGTTTAATGGAGAACAGCTGGATTATTTGCTTCTGCATCCACTCTATTGTGATACTACATTTTAGTGGAAATATAGGGAGAAAATCTAACTCCATGTAGATACGTAATAGCCTTTTCAGATAATGTGGATATTCTTCCCTGATGCTATACCAAAACTTGTCAAGTGGAGTTTCTTAAAGATTATTGTAACAATGACCTTTTCCTACCCTATACCACTGGTGAACCTGCGTTTCAAGGGACTTGACTCGTGCATGTTTTTGTAAAATGCATTTGTCTTTTGGAAAATACCTTTGGTTTAATGAGCCAGAGTTATGCAACTCACGCAAATGTTGATATCTTTGATTCTACAATATTTTTTGAGTCACAATTTGTAGTATCCGTTCTGCCTTCATCAAATTAATCTTTAGTAAGCAACAGACTAGAGTGTAGGAAAGTGGACAGCCCTAACCTCAGACAAAGAGCAACGTCAAGTGGGCTTCAGCAGGTACGCTTACGCTGGGATGTAACGCCTGGTCATTAGATTTCCCTCTGGACCTATTTGGAATTTCTTCTAACGTTTTGATAGTCTCTGCCTTCTTCTACATCGAGGTCTTTTTCTGCTTTGAGGGTCATTGTTGCTGGGCCCTTCTTTGCTTTTCTGTCTCTGTTTTCGATGTCCCTCCGTGATGGGTGGTTTCATGAAGACGGTAACTGGAGAAATAATTGACTGCCTGGGGGCACAGCAGGGGCCGGGGGTGGGGTGTGTGATGGGGACACCAGAAGGAAGACAAGGTTCCAGCGTTGATTGTGTGATGACTGCACAGCCCTCTGAGGTGCCTGAACTACTGGCGCGTCCGCTCTGCTCACCACAGCTCCGCGCACTGCTGAGAAGGAAAAGGGGTGAGCTGCGTGCTCACCGGGCAAACACCCTTCCCAAAGTGCTCATTCCCATTCAAACGCACGACGCTTCAGTGTTTTCCTTGAAATGACAAGTTCATTTCATCCACTTTCACGGATATACCTGGCAGATATTTTCTTCTGAACAGCCAAAGTTTGTGCCAATCATTCTTCCAGAAGGTGAAAATGGTGTTTCGTGGAGGGCAGCTAGTTCAGATCTCAAGCAGCGTGCTGTTTGGCTCTTTTCTGAGCAGAGAGACTGTAAGGTGTCTGTACTGCCCTTTTCATCACACTGAATGTGAGATGGGTTGTACTCAAAGACAAGATTTAACAAAATGCATACTTCATACTGCTTCAATAGGATATTCTTCGGTGAGATTGGCTCCTCCCCTCAGTCCCCACTGTGAGTACATAGCTGTGAATAATACAGTGGATACTGTCTCAAGATACTTAAAGTTTATTGTGCCAACCTGGCCGGTAAACACATGTGGGGTTAATTAAAGGGCAGAGGGATAAATGGCTTGATGAGTCTCGCCTTTCTAGTTCTCGGGTCTCTTGCTTTCTGATGGTCAGAACAGGGTGCAGCTGCCTTAGCCAGTTTC